CTCTAAAATGACTCTAAACTACTCTAAACTAAACTATTCTATAATACTCATATAAAACTATTCTAAACTATTTTATAATGCTCAAAATGACTCTATAATAATTATCTCCCTAGATTTGATTAATTTGAATAAGGTGGCTATGTTATATTACTTGATTTGGTGTAGTCTCCATGCATGCATTATTGGCAACTATGACATGGAAAATAAATAAACTTCAAGATTAACAAAAACAAATTCATTGTGCATGGCATTTCAACAAACACCTTGTATACAAAACTCAAACCAATATCAAAAGAGTAATGATCATCAATAGTATCAACAAAAACAAGTCAATAACTCAAACTCAAACCAATATCAAAAGAGTAATGCTCATCAATAGTATCAACAAAAACAAGTCAATAACTCATAAAGAAGTGAAACTAATCCAGAAAAATGCAATACTATTTTTTTAATCCAGAAAAATGTCGTAACAATGGCGGAAATACCGTAACAGTGGAGGCGAAATGTGCTACTTTGTGTGTCGGACGGAGGTGGGCGTCGGTCGGACGGAGGAGTGAAACGGACGGAGGTGGGCGTCGGTCGGACGGAGGAGTGAAACGGACGGAGGAGGAGAAATGCAAATAGGGTTCTGGTTCGCTGGAGGAGAAAGAAAAACTGAAGAAAGTATACGCGCGATTCTGCTTCTGTTTTAGTTCTTTAAAAAATTCTGTAATATATTTTAACTTAATTCTGTGTTAATTTTAATACCTACAGCAGCGTTTAAAAAGCGCTTTCTTTGAAAACCATATAGCAGCGCTTTTTGAAGGAAAGCGCTTTCTTTGGCACACCCTACAGCAGCGCTTTTTAAAAGCGCTTTCTTAGGTCCCCCTTTAGCAGCGCTTTTTAAAAGCGCTTTCATAGGTCCCCCTTTAGCAGCGCTTTTTAAAAGCGCTTTCATAGGTCCCCCTTTAGCAGCGCTTTTAAAGGCCTTTAGCAGCGCTTTTAGAAGCGTTTTCTTAGGGTGCTTAGCAATGCCATATAGCAGCGCTTTATAGAAAAAGCGCTTTCTTAGGTCCCCCTTTAGCAGCGCTTTCTTAGGGCCCCCCTTTAGCAGCGCTTTTTCAAAAGCGCTGTCTTAGGTAGGAAATTTTTTTTATTTTTTTTTTACCCACCCTTTAGCAGCGCTTTTTTAAGAAGCGCTGCTAAAGGGTGCGCTGCTAAATCTCATTTCTGGCGTAGTGTATATATATTTACTTACATCTAACAACAAAAAATCTAAAATTTTCTAATCAATATTCTAAAATAATATTTCATATATCACCAAAATCTCAAATATAAACAAATTGAAATGCATAAATACCTCTGAGCTAACTCTCAAAGCTTCCAATGAAAGTTCTTAATCAATCTTAGATCTGGAAAAAAAATCAACAGTTAGTAATAAGAAAAACATAAAATAAATGGTAAGGTAAAACAGTCACAAAACCAACATACAAATGCTTCACCTTAAATTTTTCGTTAAAAATGGAGGCAGAAGGAGGCAGAAGAAGAACAATATGAAGAGAATGGGAAGAAGAAAAAGGCAGAAGCAAAGAAGCGAAACGAGATGTGGTTGAAGAAATTCTGGGATTTTTCATATATATAAGGACACTTGCGACGTGGTGGACACGTGGGAAGGTACCCATGTGAAAACCACGTCGGAACCCACTTACCTTTTCAAAATTTGCGACGTGCAATTCGCTTAGGAAATTAGCGACGTGGAAAAAAGGTCGGAATATTCCTCTATATTAAATTATAGTTGTTGCTCCATTAAATGTCAATGCAACGGTAAGAAAATCATTTATGTAAGTGGGTTGCGATGTGGGAAACACTTCGCAAGGTTGTCACATTCAATTCCATAAACCAATGTGTCTGAGAAGTTAATAAAAAAGTTTAGACATTTACTATTTGCAGTTTTGTGACGTGAAAGGCATGTGGGTATTTTGTGACATGCTACTCACGTGGCAAATAAAAGGACTTTTTTGAAATTTGTGAAAAATTCAAATTTCCCTCTCTCTTAAAATTCCAAAATTTCGTTGCAAATTTTAGGTGTACAAAATTTATTAATTAAATATTTTAGTGACGTGGAAATCACTTGGTAACACATTTGTTTTCCACGTGTTTACCACGTCACTAAATCACTTGGAAAATGCAATATTTCTTGTAGTGAAATTTTTGCTTTTAAATATAAGTAAACGTCAATAGATTTATGCACATTTAATATTTTTATTCTAAAATTATTTATACATTAATTACTTGATATTGGATAACATTTAACTAAAGATATATAAATAAGAATTTAATTAAAATATATTGATTGTGTAAAAAAATATATATCAGTTAATTATAGACGCCGAATATTTAAAATAATTTAACTTTTATTTTAATCACCTATAAAATAATTGTAAATTAAAATTGTAAATTTTTTACACTAACCCAGTATACTAGTTATTAACATTCTTAATAAAATAAAAGTTTTTTTTTCCTTATAATGCTTATAATTAAATCCGGAGTAGTACATTATTTTAGAACGTAGAATTTGTATTATGTGATCAATTATGACAGAGGTAATTAGTGAGCATAGTTAGTGGCCAAGCATCTAATTATTTCCATGATAATGTGGTAGACTATTTAATCATAATTAGTAACTGCTTAATATAAGAGTTTATTTGAATTATTCAGCATGTTGAATGAATCTCAAAAGCTGATACTAGTACCACCTACTGCAAAGCAAAACTGATATAATTAACTTTGAGCAGCTGCATCATTGTAACTTTGCTAATCATACGGCATCTATTTAGTTGAGACTGTAATATACTAATAATGAGTGTGCTAAACAACAGTAAAATTAATCACAAGAAGGGAAATGAGAGAGTGAAATTAATCATGATAAATAATAAGGGGAATAAAAATGATGGTGAACATGAACATGAAACGTGCGGTCATCATGAACCAATGAAACGTTCTCTCTTTATTTGTCAGACATATCTTACCCTATCATCACTTTTTCTAGTATTATTTTTATAAGATAAGATGGTGGGGTCAGGATGTCCCTCCCATCTACATCTATTCTTATGTTACTATCTCTCACACTTTCATGTCTTTAACCTTCATTTTCTTTCTCTCTATATTATTCTATATTTTACTTTTATTTAATATTAATATTAGAGAAAAGTTGAATATAGAATAAATTATTTCATACATTAAAAATAAATATAAGAATTAAATGTCTCTACACAATTATAATTGAATTAATTTAACAAAACAATATTATAATAAATAAAAGAACGAATAATAATTTTATCATAAAATCTTTATCGGCTATTTGTGCATTTTAATAAAAAAAAATAGTAGTATTAAATTAAGAGTATTAATTAAAATATATAAAAAAATTGACAGAAAAATTAAAATTGTATTAAAAACTAGTAAAACCAGCACTTATTTTAAGATAAATAATTTTACAAATACAACGTTTATTTTAGGAGGGAAAGAGTTTTTTTTTTTTTCTAGTATGCGAGGGCATTGTCCAACATTAATTACATTTGACCTTGAAGTGCTCTACATTAATTATCCATCGCAATGTGGCATTATATTATAGGTATGTAGTACTAATATATACAAGCTGGAAACCGTTAGTTTACGTTTATTCAAATAACATAAAATACTAATAAATTAGGTCACTGTCATTGGAGATTATCCTAGTAGAAATGCACCTAAGGCATCAATCATGTTATAATAGCTTAATACAAATTTAACGGTCCAATTAGGGTTTTTACTTTTGTTAGAAATTTTTAGTGAAGTCTTTAAGAACAGAACTCTATCTATTCTGTCTCATGACAAGCTCACTTTCACTTTCTTGAGTATTAGGTGGTGGGTAGAAAATAAAGATTGAATGAAGCAAAAAGGTATGGACACCATCCAATGTTACCGAATCTACCACGTGGCTCAACAGTCGAGGCTCTCCTCCTACTATCTCTTTCCCCAAAAAACATTCAATGAAAAGAGCAAATGCCACCACACCTGAGGACAATTTACCACTGCACTTGCATTACCATTTCTTGCTGTAATGGAGTAAATAATGATGTGCTTTTCACCTACTCCCATTACAGTGATTAGCACTACTCAAACACTTCCAGTGATGCCATTTGCAGGTGTTTTATTTAGACGCTTCTTGGTTTTGGCTTTAAAATACGACAACCAGTTTATGTTCCCTAGGATGCAAGATATTCGATTTTGGTAACAGGCCTGCTCCACCTATCTATTCTTGCTTGCTCACAAGGAAGAAAAAAAAGTATAGAGGAAGCATTGATGCAGTACTATACTAGTACTACAGGTTTTCAAATGAAAATGTTTCATTTCTAATAAAGTGAAAAGAAAACTTCCATTAATTGTTGAGAGTATCTTCCATAGCTCTCTGAATCGAGCAAGCAGAAACCAAGGCAAAATTGTTACATAAGATGCATCAACATTGCAAACAACAAACAATGATATACTAGAATATAGATTTTATTCCTTTGAAAAGGTCAATAATAACAATGAGCCCATCAATATCTTAATACTCCGACCAAAGTATTATGCATATAAATTTTGCAGAAGTTTTTAAATTATCATAAGATGAAAAATAATTTAACAATTTTAACAAATCAATCTGATGCCACATACAACAGCAAAGTCTGGTTTTATTTGTGATCAGATTTTATATCCAGTAGCTCGGCCAAAAGAAAAAATTGAATGGCAATAGAGCTCAAGCTTTCTGTATACCCTCCCCTGCTGTACCTAGCTCAGAAACCAGCCATAAAAGCAGAGCATAGGACGATCATAAGCTTACATTCATTCCAGGGTGTGTTGAGCATGCACCTGCCATCAACAAGTCACACATAAAATGTTCATTATTGAGTAGCACAATCATTCAGGTTATGCAGAATCATCTTCCATCAACAAGTCACACATAAAATGTTCATTATTGAGTAGCACGATCATTCAGGTTATGCAGAATCATCTTCCATTCTCCATACATAACCAGGCATGTCCAATCTAGGGCCAGAAATTGTCCTGTATATGTAAAGCTTCTCAACGAGACTATTATCTGGCCATGAATCTGGAGTTCCTCTATCTTCCATGATTTCAACATTGAGTCTCGGAAACTTCAGACCCAACAGTTTACATGCTCCATAACTCACATGGCAAGAGGACATCCAAAGGGATCGCATTGTCTCCAATTTTGCAGCATTGGCTAAAAGAGGTTTGTCACCAAAGGGGCAGTCCCTGATCTCCAACTTCCTAAGGTTGTCACACCCGGAGAGCACATGATGGAGTCCCAAATCACTTTCTCCAGCAAAAGCCACAGAAAGCATCTCAAGCTTCTTCCCATAAGTCCCAATATACTCAAAAACACGGTCAGTGAGAAGCCCTGAGAGGGAAAGGCGCCGAAGACTCTTACATTGCTCAACAATAGCTCCAAATCCAACATCCAGAGGTTGACGGGTAAGATAGTCAGGAGTGCGAGGCTCAATAATACATAATCTAAAACGAGTCAAATTAGGCCTGTTCCGAGCAATTGCAGTTAGGGCAGCATTGGTCATTTGACGACAAAAATATAGAACTGAATGGAGCTTGGGGCAACCTTCAGACACAGAAACAAGGCCCTGCTCTGTCAACGCTGTATTTGCACGGACCCCAAATGGATTAGATGGAAACACCCTTAACTCCCTCAGATCCTTGCACGTTGCCGCAAGCATGTCAAGGCCGACGTCTTCTATGTAATCCAACACCTAAATATTAGTAAACATTATCAGCATGCATAGAAATTACAATTTTTGTATAGTTAACCAACATTCAAACAAGACATACCCATAATCGCTGCAAACTCTCACATTCACCAACAAGCTTGATAAGATCCGGGCCTTGGATCGTAGCATAACTTAAGTTCAGTGATGTGAGTCTGGAGCATACAGTAAAAACGGCAGGTAGGTAGGATGGAAGCACATCCCAAAATCCAGACAAGCCCTTCATTTGCATGCACCCAGAAAATGCTGCGGCCAGATTTGAAAGGACCTCAGGCCGCATCTCAGAAGTGTAGGCACCGGTGCCTAACTCCGCAATCTGTGGAGCCCCCCTAAGGAGGTTGGCAAGCTTATCAAGTGGCGCTGCACGATTGAGGCAGAGTGTCTGCAAGTTAGTACACCTACTAACCAGGCGCTCTAGTGCAGGAAAATTCACCTCGTTTGCCAAGCAAGAGATGTTTAGTGAAACCAATGATGTGTAGGAATCAGGAAAATGGCTTAGCCAATGACCACTAATGTCCTCCACTTCACTCTCCCGCAAGTCCAACTCCCTCAAATTCCTACAATTCCCATTAGCGCCCATTAGATATGTCAACTAGATATGTCAACGACACATAGAAGCAACACACCAGTTCATAAACCATGAATTCTATTTAGTAAAATTAACATTCAAAATTAGACTACACACCACTGTCATCACCATAATAATAATCCAATAATTACATTTCCTTACTTAATTCAACACTTTAATTGCACCCTACACTAACATTCATAATAGATATAATCGACAAAAATGAAACTAAAAGTTCTCAGATTCGCATTAACTTGTTTTCTATAAAAGCTACTTAAAACCAAATTATTCAGTTTTTCAATAAAGCACTTAATCCAATCAACTTTTTGTGAATAATGAGTCCTTACAATTACTGAATACCCCTATGTGGGTCCTTGTTAAAAAACAAAAATAAAAATATAATTTAAAAAATCTAGATTGTAATTTTACCCATCAAATCCCAAATTTGTATATGGTTTTCATTTCACATAACATTGCTAAATAAAGGAAAAACATACAAAAAGAGGCAAAAATGAAGAAAGAATGAGAATAACAAACAAACCTGCAATTGGCAGCAATGGCAGCAAGTCCATCCGTAGTGAAACCTTCACAAGAAGTAAGCACCAAAACCGTAAAATTCTTAAACGATTTAGCAATAAGGTCCAAAGAATCATCAGTGATAACCATTCTCTTTAGCCTAATCTCTTGCAAACACGGATACGCAGCAGCCATAGCTTTGATCCAAGGACAGACAAAAGCACCCCAACCTTCCGGTATCAAATTGAAGTCCGCAAAGTGCGGCTTCCCTTTCAGTTTGATAGATCTCACTTTCGGAAACCGTTTTATCACCATGGCTGGACTCACCGCGTAACAGTTTCCGACGAAGATCCGCCGTCTGCACCACCGCTCAATCTCGTACCACGATTTGCATACCAGCGAGATCGAGCCTCTGTCTGTGTCCGATTCAATGAACGAAAAAACGTGCTCGAGTACTTCCTCAGGGAACGAGTACGCTACTCTCTGCATAACGACGTCGTTTTTTCGTATAATGATGAATACTGTGAAATCTTGCAGTACTGTGGTACGAAGAAGAGTTCGATTAGATCTGAAACGCCATTGAAGAGTTAGAAAAGAGAGATTGGAGAGAGAGAGAGAGAGAGAGAGAGAGAGAGAGAGAGAGGATAAGGAGTTTGTGTTGTGATTGTACTTTGTATACTCAGTGTTGAGGTTAGAAAGTAACCAGGGTTAAATAGGTGTTGTCGTTTGGTGGTGTGAAGAGGTTTCTGTGATTTGGGATTATTGTGGGGACGCGGGGTGATTAGTTAGTTAGAGCCGTTGGATTGTTATTTGTAGATTTGAGAGAAATGGACGGTGGGGAAATGGTTGTGTTATCATAATGGTTGTGGAAGAGAATCTTATGATTTTCAGTATACGGTTTGATCTTCGTAGATGAGTTTGAAGTGGGGACCGCATTATTTTTGGTACGATTAAGGTTTTTTTTTTTTTGAATTAGGTATTGGCATAACGGATATTCAGCCGGGCTGGACAATCGATTTCGATTCCAGTCAGTTATTAGAACATTCAATGGCTAATTAGGAAGATAAGCTCAATAAAAATAATTCATGGTTATTGAAAGAATTAAGAATTTCTTACATGTGAGTGAAAAGGTTTAGTCATAAGTATAGTAAGTAAATACTAATGAATGAATAGTAAATGAGGTTGAATGAAAATAATGAGAAGATAGGCGTCCAATCATGTGTGACTGTTTTCATTCTAACCTCTGACAGTGAGATATTTTGTTTCCGCAACTGTTATCAAACTCATTAACTCATACAATCGGCCAATCTACCCAAAGTAATGAACTGAATTGACTATAGCGACTATATCTTCTAATCATCAATTCCATTATTTACGGTACGATTATGAATGAGCCACCTATCATACTCATACTCATGTGCTAGGTTTGTCCAATTCTTTTCAAAATAGATTGTTAAAAGCAAATTTTCATTAATTTAGATTTGGTGCATTAACTATGTCACCTAGTTACTCCGTTTTAAATTAATATTGTTATTTTTCCGTCCTTGATTATATAAAAATTAATTTTAAAAAGTTTGTTAAATAAAATAGATCAATTTTTGTATTTATTTTTTTGTATAATTAAGTTGATGAATTTAAAATAATGGGATAGATAATATTTTTAATTGCTACTATTATGAATTACTATTAGTAGACAATGTTATTTTTCATTTTTACTAGGCAACCGTCATATTTCAATTTTACTACCCAACATTATTTTTCATACAAAATCTAGCCAATGGTAATATTTAATTATTACTAGTATAAATAAGTAACCCATTTGATTTAATATTTTATTTATAACTAGTCTAATTTTGAACTATTGATTTTATCTCATTTAAAAAAAAATCTTCTACACATTTATTTGTCAATGGATCCCAATCAACCTAGTTCTTGGTTTAATTTTATGCATAATGGTGGTAGTCCTCCTTCTATTCCAAATCATCAAAATAACCCATACTTTGGAAATGCACCTTTTATCTCAAATTCACACCATACCTCAAATTTTTAAAACTATCAGTTTATCCCAAATCCACAAAATATTTCACACTTTGGAAATTACTCATATTATGCACAACATTATCCATATCAACATCAACCATTTATATCTCAATCAACTAACCTCAATATGCCTCATGGGACTCAAATAGGTAGTAGTTGTGCGCAATCAAATGATAAAGAACGTGAAACACCACAATTTTGCACTCAATATAGCTTGGAAACTATTAACCTTGGTGAAGAAGTTGCATCCGTGTTGGTTGTGAATACGCATAAACAAAGGTTCCAACAAAAAGATGATGAAGTTCTCATTCAATCATGGCTCAACGTTTCAAAGGATTCAATTGTTAAGGTTGATAAAGAAGGAGATGGTTTTTGGAAGAGGATCGGTGAAGCTTACAACAAGCATCGTGACATCAATTGCAATGAGAGAAAACCGACGCAACTAAAAGGTCAATGGCACAAAATTAATCCATTTGTTTAGAAGCTTGTTGGATGCTACAAACAAGTCGTGCCTACACAACAAAGTGGGAGTTTCGAGAGCAATATAATGCAAGTTGCATATAAAATATATTTTTAAGATGAATATGAAAAGTTTACTTTTGAAGTTGCATGGAGATTATTGAAAGATGAACCTAAATGGCTCGCAGGTTCATCAGAAGTTTCTACAAAAAGAACAAAGAATTCAGTTTCAAGAGCATATTCTTCATCTTCTAATCCACAAATGAGTAGCGAACACGATCCATCATCACCTACTTTGTCTCATCGTCCAATCAGTCAAAAGGCAACCAAAAGGAAGGAGAAAGAAAAGCTCGTGGAAGTGTCTTCTACTCCCAATGTCAAATATGATTGTTTGAAAGATGACTTTTAAAAAATTGATTTAATGTCAATGTTTGCACGAGACTATGCATGCATTGAGGGTGAAAAAGTTGAGATAGAGAGAAAAAAGGTTGATGCAAAGATTAAGAAGGTTGAGAGTGTTGAGGAAAGATTGAAGATGAATGATCTGCAAATACTCTCAAAAGATACATCAAATATGGATATAAGACAACTACACGCTCATGAAATATTGTGCGGCATGATTAGAGAAAAATATGGACTTAATTAGTATGATTATGTATTTTAGGCTTAATTAGTAAGATTATGTATTTTGGACTTAATTGATATGGTTATGTTTATTGGATTTAATTAGTATGATTATGTATTTTGAACTTAATTATTATGATTAAGTATTCAAAGTAGTCGTTATTCAAACTAACCATTATTTAAACTAGTCGTAAGTCAAACTAGCTATTATTCAAACTAGCCATTAGTCAAACTAGTCGTTATTCAAATGAGTCGTTATTCAAAGTCAAACTAGCCGTTATTCAAAGTAGTCTTATAAATAGTATTAACATGCACACTAACCTCTTGCACTCTTTACAATTTGTTATCATCTTATACTAAATATCAAACTTCTTTTCACATGGATCCTTCCAATCCTTCCCACATTGCAAAAATTTCCATGGATTATATGAATGATGACATGGATGAAGAACTTGTGAGGTTGTTTATGGATCCTTCCAACATGATGAATATTTTTTAATGGTGGTTGATGCAACAGGTAGGGCAAGTCTTTCACCATTACAAAAATGCACTGTTGTTATCTGTATGTTGGCATATGGAACATCTGCTGACAGTGTGGATGACTATTTGAGAATTAGTGAAACCACGACACTAAAATATGTTGATAAGTTTACAAGAGGAGTGATCGGCATCTTTGGTGCATAATATTTGCGAAGGCCAAACGCCGAAGACATTGAACGCCTAATGCAAATGGGAGAGGCACGAGGATATCCAAGTATGTTAGAGAACATTAATTGCATGCATTGGGAATGGAAAAATTGTCCAGTTGCATTGAAAGGGCAGTACGTTCGAGGCGATCATGGAAAACCAACTCTTATGCTTGAAGTAGTGGCTTCACTAGACTTATGGATTTGGCATGCATTCTTTGGGGTAGCAGGTTTAAACAACAATATTAATGTGTTGAACCAATCCAATGTCTTCAATGATGTTCTGCAAGGACGAGCTCCCGAGGTTCATTATACATAAATCGTATTGAATACAACAAGGGTTATCATCTATCATATGGTATTTATCCTGAATGAGCCACGTTTGTAAAAAGTATCTCGATGTCACAAGGGAATAAGAGAATAATATTTGCCCAACATTAAGAAGGGGAAAGAAAGAATATTGAACGGGCATTTGGAGTTCTCCAATCCCGATTTACGATCATACGTAACCCAGCACGGTCTTGGCACCTAGACACACTCCAGCGCATAATGAATACATGCATCATATTACACAACATGATTGTTGAAGATGAACGTGCAACATATGGTGGAAATTTTGATTTTTCTTATGATCATTTGAGTAATGATGCGACAATATTGCCGAATAATTCTAATATTGATTTTGAAGAGTTCATATGTAGAAGATTTGATATTCGTGATAAACAAATTCATTGACACCTTCAACAAGACTTGATAGGACATATATGGCAACATTATGGACATTAGAATAACAACAATTGAAAAATGTTTTAAATATATCTTTTTATGTATCTTGTGCTAGTAATTTATTTTAATATATTTTTTAATTAATTATTTGTGTGATGTATTGTATTTTTTAATATATATATTTATTTTGTTTTGTTTTATTTTATTTTAAATGTATAATTTTTTAATGTATTTTGATATATTTGAATTAAATTGTTTCAATTATTTTTTATATAATATAAATGTTGAGTATATTGTGAGATTTGATGGGACCCATTTTAGTGTTTTTGATGAGTTGTATGGATATTTGAAAAATGTAGTTAGGTTGTTTAGAAAATATAGAAGTGTAATATAATATAAAAAATTGTGTGGGTTCCATTTAAAGAACCAAAGTGTGGTTGATGAGTGTGGATGCTCTTAAAGGATTATTATCCTCATTGTCGTTTAAGATTTTTAGAGTATATTAGTTGTCTAATGGAGAGACAGATAAATAGTTAAACGACTAAGGGCAGCGACCTCTCATTGAGCTTAATAGAATGGTCTAACCCATTACGGTCCATTCAGACACAAAATCTAATGAAATAATTCATCTATTTAATGTTTAATCATAATAGATTATAATATAATTAATTAATAATTAATTATGTCAATCCATATTTGATTAATTAAATCATTAATCTAATAATCTCCCCCATTGAATGACAATAATTAATTACTAAAAAATATTGATTTTAATATTAAAATATCAATAATGGTCAAAACACTTATCAATTAAAAAAGAAGTAAATTTCAACACTGCAGAAATTGTATCTGATAGGAAAGAGAAATCATACATGTTAAAACTTACAATATTATATAAAGAATTATGTATTTAGAGTAACATATTTAAGTTAAGAGTAATATGCTATAAAGAATGACCCAAACATATGAAAATGCTATTGATAAACTCTCACTAATCCAAAATATCATAAGACTTACTCATGTGTATAAGTATTTGGTTAGTGATTTTACTAATGAGTTTTCAAATTAAAGGTCATAAAATATTCAAATAGATCTCAGAATAATAATTACATATAAGGATATCCTATTAGAGAGTAATTACTTTTAATCATAAGTACCTTCATAATACAATAGCATACTCAATAGAAGTATTGATATTTACTTGTACTTTCATATTTATGACCTAACAAATGTAGACTATTAAATAACACAATATTATTGCATGTTAAAAAATTATTGTGTCTTTTTAATATCGGCCTAAACATCAAATTATGATGTTTACTGAGATTAAGAGAATAATATATATCTCAGTATAATTGAATAAGACTTCTTAGAGTTATTATACATTTTGAAGTCTTCTTAGAATATGTCATATTTTATAACGTGTGCAAATATGACAATATGAGAATAATAATTCAATTTTTTTTAGATTATATAATTAAGTGTACATGCACTCCCACTTATCCAATTTATCAGAGTTCACTAATATTAAATACTCTGATATACAATGGGATATAATTTTATTTTTAGTACAAAACTATAAAGAGAAGTGGTTCTATAATATATCATCATTATTGCACGTAAATAGAATACATAATTATTTAAATAATTTAACATGAAAGAGTATGATGATCATATAAAGATTTACCATCATTTAAGTGAGATCAAATTCATATAACTTTAAATAGAACATAGGATTATATATAACATCTTAATAACTCACTCAAAACTCAAATGTTCCAATGATAACCACACATATTTAAAAATTATTTTATGTTATACGCAGCAGAAAAATATAAGACTTAAGTTTAACTATTATATTGAGGATATAACACAAAGAGTCATAAACTTTATTATTAATATAAGACTATAATATTCTTACTATAAGTCCTCATAAAATAACATTGTATTAAACAAATAATATTTGTTTCTCATTTCTAATATAAATCACATGTTAAATTCTTTCATTTGATAGAGAATAATAGTTGAACTAAATGTAAGAGTTTTGAAACATATTTAAACAAATATTCAACTATTTTCTTTATCACATAATGATCATATCAAATAACGTCACACTGATAGGGTATGTCCATCACTTACATGTCTTTAAAATAATTTCTTATTTCTCAAATAATACTTTCAACAATATTAAATAATAAATATAACAGTGTATAAATATTATGTCACCAAAAAATTTTAATACCGATAAGGTACTTGAACAATAATTTACATAATCATAAATCATAAGTACATTGAACAAAACAAATTATACTAATAATAATATAGTGATATAATATAATAATTATCAATATAGTATTTATTATACTTAAAATAAATTTAAGTATTTTATTAAACAAAATTTGTATAATTGTACCCACAATAGGTGAGTTACAATCATACAAATTAAGAGTGTTCATATTTTATTCAAACTAGGAAATTTTATATAATTATATCAACGATATGTGAGATTACAATTATATAAATTAATTGTGATTACTTAATTTTTCAAAATAAAACTCATAAAATAATAAAATTTCTAATATACTTATAAAATTAGATTTTTATTTTTCTATAGCTGAGTATATAATAAGGAATCAATTTATGACAATGAATAAGGAGTTTTTAATTCAAAATATAATGTGACATTCATCTTTACAAATAGAGTTAATAAACTTTAATGATTTGTAGAGTATTGCAGTGTTATCTCAAAAACTCATAAATCGACGATAAATCGTTATATTAAAATATAAAACTTTATTAATAAATTAATATAATTCAAAAATAAAATAATTTATATTGCCTTAAAATACCTCAAAATAATTATAATGTTACCCTACATAATATTGTGCCAGAAAATCTACATAATTGAACCTAAAATAAAGTTTACAATTATAACACTTTTAAGAAGAAAATTAATTTATATCATTATTTTCTTTTATATAAAAAA